CCCGCCGCGTGCGCGCTGGCGGCCGCCGCCGGGGTGGCCTCCGCCGCGGGCCGCCGCCGCGCCGCGGCCGCGCGGCCCGCGGCCGCCGTGGCCACGAGGCCTGTCCTCCTCGCCTCCTCCTCCTCCTCCTCCTCCTCCTCCTCCTCCTCCTCTCTCCTCCTCCTCCTCCCCTGCGGGCCGCCCGCGCGGCTCCTGCCCCCTTCGCGCAAAAAAGCGCCCGCGCGGCCCGCGGCCGCCCGCGGCCGCCGTGGCCACGAGGCCCAAGCAGTGGCGAAGCGCCCTGGCTCGCCTATAGGCCCACCAAAGAATTCAGAGGAGGAAAAGGGTCCATACCCCCTGCCCTTCGGCCGTTTTTCCCTCTTTGGCCCTCCTGGGAGGCCCTCGTCGCCACCGCTGGATTCGCCTCGAAATCCTTGTTAGAACGCGCCCCGGGAGACGTCCGGGGAGTAGCGGTATGGGTACCTTTTGGTCTCCGCAGAGAATGTTCTAAGAACCTTTTGTGGTTTCCACGAAACCTTCTTAGAACATTTTTGGCTGCGACTGTCTTGATTTAGCACACCGGGTTCATGTTTTAAGAACAAGGCTTTGGTTATTTGAGATCGTTTCGTGATAGGCCTATAGGACTGCCAGGACGGTCGGTCCCTGCTCCAGAGGCGCGCCTTCGAGAACGAGCTCGGCGTGCAGCCGCCGACGGGCTTCTGGGATCCCGCAGGCTTTGGGAGCCTTGAGACGGGGGTCCACGCCAACGGGGGTCAGCCAGAGCGCCCTATCTTGCAGGATCCTGCAGGGGGTTGGGTGCAGGATCCTGCAGGATGTTGCAGGATCCTTCGCACTGATGCAGGATTCTGCAAGGCCTGACTGACCAGGGTCTGGATTGACCCGGGTCAGAAGAACCCCGAAGGATGCTGTTACGTCGGGCCTGTCCCTCTACGGGAGGAAAGTTCAAAAGCGATCACAGCATAATATGGAGACGAATCTGCTTCAATGCATTGTTTGACTATTGTCGAGTCCCTTTTCCTTTTTCGTCCAAAATCTACCTGTAGGAGGACATGCCCGACCTAAGGCTACTGCTCGGACGGCGACGCGCAGGAGTTCTACCGCCGCCGCTGCGTTGAGATTAAGCACGGCCGCGTCAGCATGATCGCCTGCATCGGCTACATCGTGCCAGAGTACTTCAAGTGGCCCGGCTACCTCAGTCCCTCGGACGGCATCAAGTTCGCCGACGTCCCTCACGGACTTGACGCCATCACGCGGGTGCCGGCCGTGGGGTGGTTCCAGATCGTGCTCTTCGGTCTGTCCATGGAGCTGTTCGCGGCGTACCAGGACCCCACCAAACTGCCTGGGAAGCTCAGCTCCCGTCTCGTCATCGCCCTGACCGAGATCAGGAACAAGAGCATCGCGGGAGGCGTCAACAACAGCGGCTACGAGTTCGGCCCCTTCGGTATCCCCAACGCCCCGTCCATCAAGGACCCCGAGGTGCGCAAGCAGAAGCTGAACGCGGAGATCGCGAACGGCCGCCTCGCGATGGTCGCCATCATGGGCCTGATGTTCCAGAACGGCACCGTCGGCACCACCGGCCCGGAGATGTGGCTCGGCGCCAGCGCGACGGCGCGGGGCACCCCCGATCAGGTGTGCGGGAGGTGCAAGAGTGTACGCCGGTCATTGAAAGTAGGTATCTTTGGACTCCCAGATCCCAATCTATCTCAAGTGCCTTTCGACCTCAATCATCGATCCGTTTTTGCTGCTCGTTGTCATTCTCTGGGAGGGCTTGAGCCCAGTCTACTTGATCCGCCTTCCTGCTGCATGGTTTTACCTACTTCTTCTGACCGACGAGTGTCAATGGCACGCCGCCGTGGGGAGCCCGTCGGCGTGTCGCTCTCCGTCGTCTGTGTCCGAGGGCCTGGCGCGTCCTCCACGGTGACACGCCGAGGGGTTCCTGGCGGCGGCGTGTCGTTGATGCTCTTTCTTGCTCCCCCAGGTGTCGTACGGCGCGGGGATGAAGCCGAAGACGAACATGTCCCCGCGCCCAGAGTATCTGGATGACGGAGAGTCGATGCCAATGCCAGCGCTGCCCCCGCCTGCCGGCAGCGCCCAGGCGAAGCTCCCAATGGCCCTGCGGGGCACCGGGGGGCCCTTCCCCGACGACGTCTGGGACCCGCTCAACCTCATGGAGGGCAAGAGCGAGGAGCAGCTGCTGCACTGGCGCGCCGTGGAGCTGAAGCACGCGCGCGTGGCCATGCTCGCGGTGCTGGGCTGGTTCCACGTTGCGACCGGCTGGCACCCCGTCGGCGACGCGGCCGCGCGCATGCGCGTCTCGGACGACCCTCTGATCAACTACACCCAGCTGCCAATCGGAGGCGCTTTCCAGGTCGTGTTCACCATCATGGTCACGGAGTGGCTCTTCCTCTACGTGTGCAAGCCGCCGAAGGAGGCGCCCTGGGACCTCGTCGGCTGGACACCCACGCTGGTGGCGGATCAGAACCAGCCGGAGTGGAAGGAGAGGCAGCTGTTCGAGCTGAACAACGGCCGCCTGGCCATGGTCGCCTTCTTCGGCCTCGTGTTCCAGGACATGGCCACCGGCGACTACGGCCCCTTCTTCGGGACCCCGAGCGCGAGCGGCGTGGCGAACGGGGCCGGGAGCTTCGACGGCCTCGAGCTCTTCCCCGGCGTGCCCATGCCCAAGAGCCCGGGCGGCCTGCCCCCCAACGTCTACCCGCCGGTGGGCTTCATGAGCTACGACCCGCCGCCGCTCTGAGAGCGGGGCCCGCCTCGGCGCGGGCGCCCGCGGCCCGGGAGGCCCCGCGGCCGCGGCGTGCCCTGATCCATGTCGGGGGCGGAGAAGAGGGGGATGATGACTACCCATCGGTCGTTGAAAGTAGGTAGTTTTGGATTCCCATATTCCAATCGACTCTCGGCGCCTACCTACTTCAAGGGTCGAGTGGTTTTCCCTCCTCCTTCCTCTTCAGGAGGCGGGCGGAAGCCTAAGCTATTTCCAACGCCTTCCTACTTCATGTTTCTACCTACTTCTTCCGACCGATGGGTAGGGGGGGGTGGATTTCATGGCGCGGGCCATGATTTTTCTTCAGATTTCATGGCGCCTCTTCTTATTTCATGACGTCCCAGGCCCCCCCTCTGGGCCGCGCACATGCCACCAGTCATGATTTGCACCCCCCCTCTTGGACACCCCCCTCTTGGCCGCTCCTGAATCATTGGGTACTGGGATTGTTCAGTCGCGACCGACGAGAACGGTCGCTACCGATTCTGCTGCAAACTTCGGTATCGGTCGCGACCGATCGGTCGCGATCGGTGGCGACCGGTCGCGACCGATGCGCGATCGGCCGCGACCGATCTGGAGTGCCGATCGGTCGCTATCGATCGCGACCGAACAAAAATCGGTATCGAACGATTTGTGTGGGCTAAAACAGGGCTAGGATCGGAATAAATCGCTCCAGAGCGTTCTGGAGGGCTCTCAGAGCGTTCCTGAACGCTCTGGAGCGGCCGCGGCGCCCACTACATCCTCCAAACCCGCCGATTCTCAGAGATTTCGAGTTATGCCGATCCGATTTTGTCCCGATTTTCGCGTCGTTTTAGGTGGGCGGGAGTCTCCTCCGGGCGGTCGGGGTCGGCAGTCTGCTGCGAGCTTGCCCTGGCGCCGCCCGGTGCCGGCAGGCAAAGGCGCCTGTGCTGCTCCACGCGCGTCGGCGTCGGTCCAGGATTTGTAGATCGCAGTAAAAGAGGCCTCCTCCTGTCCTCCTGACCCCTCCTACTCCACCTGCTGCTGCTGCTGCTCCTCCTCCTCCTCCTCCTCCTCCTCCCCCTCCTCCTCCTCCTCCTCCTCCTCCTCCTCTCTCCTCCTCCCTCCTCTCTCCTCCTCCCTCCTCCTCCTCCTCTCCTCCTCCTCCTCCTCCTCTCCTCCTCCTTCCTCCTCCCTCCTCTCCTCCTCCTCCTCCTCCTCCTCCTCCTCCTCCCCCTCATCGCCATCATCATCACCATTATCATCACAAACACTATCATCGTCATCATCATCACTATCATCATCGCCGTAATCATCAGCACCATCATCATTGTCATTACGCGTATCCTTCTCCGCATCCTCATCCGTATCCTTGTCCTCATCAACATCATTTTATTCACCTTCATTCGGATCATGATCATTATCATGTTAATCGCCATCTGGCGTATCCGTATCTTTGTCCATCTCATGATTGTTAAGATCATCCTCACTCTTTTCATTGTCTTAATTCTTTTCCTGAACCCGATCCTGATCCTAATCCTTACCCGTGTATTCGTCATCGTCCTTATCCGCATCCCCCTCTTTATCCGTACCCTGACCTGTACCCTCATTATCACCATCATCTCCATCAGCATCACCATCACCACCATCATCATCATCATCATCATCATTTTCATCATCATCATCAGCATCATCATCATCAACAACATCACCATCATCAGCATTATCATCATCATCATCAGCATCATCATCAACATCACCATCCCTATCCTTATCCTGATATTCATCATTCACCTTCCCGATGCCCACCCTTATTATGCTTCTTATCCGTGCCCTCACCCTCATCAGTCTCTTTTTCCATATCCTCATCTCTGCCTGGACGTTTATCATGTCACTGCTTCGTATCCTTCTCCGTATCCTGATCCTTATCCGTATCCGTACCCTCATCATGGTCCTCATCCCCATTCTCACCTTTATCTTTATCCTTTCAGATAATCCCCATCCATGTTCTCATCCTTATCCTTATCCTTGTCTTGCGCTTTTCCTATCTCGCTCGGCGGATTGACGACAGGGGCAGAGCAATGCCTTTTGTGGCCCAAGTCCGAGCCAGAGCATGAGCCAGAGCATTTTCCCATCAGTCACAAACGGTCTTGAAGGGCCTGAGAGAGCTGAACCGAACTTCTCCTCCTCCTCCTCCTGCCTCTCCTCCCCGTCCTCGGACAGCGGCAACGGGTCCTCGCCGCCCCCGTGCCAGCGCGACCCCCAGGCAGAGGCCGGCGGTACCTCGTCTACGAGCTGCTCGAGGGCGGGCCGCCCCTTCGGGCCCGGCGGGGGCCTCCGTGGAGGAGACGCGCCCTTCGTTGGCGAAGCGTCCTGGCTCGCCCTATGGTCCCGCCAAAAATCTTCTAAGAACCTGTTGTGGTCTGCATGACATGTTCTTAGAACATTTCTGGCTGAGACGGTCTTGTTCTGACACATCGGGCTTGTGGTCTAAGAACAGTGTTTTTTGTTCTTAGAGCATTTTTGGTTTTAAGAACATGTCGTGGTAGGCCTATACGAATGCTGGGATGGTCGGTCCCTGCTCAAAGGGAAGCGCCCCTCGCAGGCGATCTATCGACCCCCTTTTAGGAAGCTCCCAGGAGGCCACAGAAGTGCCCCCAGAGGCTCCCGAGATGCCCCCCCCCTCCTCCTCCTTCTCCTCTTGCTCCTCCTGCTCCTCTTCCTTGCTCCTCCTCGCCCTCCTCGTCCTCCTGCTCCTCCTCCTCCTCCTCCTCCTGCTCCTCCTTCTCTGCCTCGTCGTCGTCCTCCTCCTCTCTCCTCATCCTCCTCCTCGCCTTCCTCTCCTCCCTCCTCCTCCTCCTCCTCCCTCCTCCTCCTCCTCCCTCCCTCTCCACCTCCTCCTCCTCCTCCTCCTCCTCCTCCTCCTCCTCCTCCTCCTCCTCCTCCTCCTAGTCCCCGAGTTCCGCCCCGCACTGTTCTCTCTGCCACAGACGCGCTCAATCGCAGGTGTGGGCGACCGCAGCGGGAGTGGGCAAATGGGCTGTGCGGCGATGTTTCCACGCGTTTTGGCAATACTTTCGCAGAGCCGCAGGGCCCTGTGCGGCGAGCTCTTCTTGTAGAGCGTTGCGGTCGACGATGCAGCGAGCGCGACGGTTCTATTTACGCACATGTTGCTTCCCTGGCCTTCTGTCCTGGACAGAGATGGCAGTCTTACGCGTACGTGTTTGCATTATTTGTCCCTATTCTCCGCTAGTTCTCCTCCTCCTGTCCCTCCTGCCCCGCACGATGTTGACTATGTGACCGCCGACGTGCCGCCGTTCCCGCAAGGCGGTGAGAATATCCTGGCATGCTGTAGTGGATGGTTCAGCTTGCAACAGTTGCGAGGTGCTTGTAGCCCACTTGCAAGACTCCTGCAGAAGGGTTGCCAGTCCGCCCAACTGCTCTTAATGGCTGGGCAGGTGGCGGACCCAGCCTCGAGAAGCCGGGCGGACTTGCAAATGCCTCTTGCGAGTGGGTTGCCACGGCCTCGCCACTGTTGCAAGTCAGAGCGAACCACTTCGCCCATGCTCTCCAGCGCACCCAGAACCCCGACGGCGTGATCTCTTCACGGCTTCGACCTCCAGAGGCCTGGACCTGTTCCCCAGGACCGGCTTTCATCCCAGAGTCCGTTTCTGACGGTCCTGGGGCCCGGCGAGGGCCTCCAGAGGCCGACAATTTGGGATAAACCTCCCGTCGCGATTTCTTCACGGCGCGAGGGGTCGAGGCAATTTGCGCACGAGCGAGTGCGCCCAGGGTGCCTCTGCCGCGGGGCGTGCCGAGGGGCGCGGCCCGGGGCCCCGAGGTGAAAGACCGGCCGCAGGGAAAAGCCCTGGACCTGCGGAGGTCCACGTTGTGGAGCCATCGAGGGAGGAGGAGGGGGAGGGAGAAGGGGGAGGAGGAGGAGGAGGAGGAGGAGGAGGAGGAGGAGGAGGAGGAGGAGGAGGAGGAGGAAGAGGAAGTGGAAGAGGACGAGGAGGAGGAGGCACCCTCGAGGCCGCGCGGCTGGACGTGGCCTTCACCGACCTGGTCGCCGGGGTCACCTACGCCGACGTGGTGATCACCGACGCGGCCTTGGGCGCGGGCACAGCCGCCGGGCGAAGCCGCGCCGCGCGCGACGGGGCCGCGGCGGCGGCGGCGGAGGCCCGCAAGCACAGGCGCTACCCGGGCCCGGCCCTGGTCGCCTTCGCATTGTAGGCGCAGGGCCGAGCCGGGAAGGAGGCGCAGGCGCTCCTGCGGACTTGGGCGGCGGGCGACCCGGCGACGCTGACGGCGGCGCGCCAGAGCCTGGCCGCCGTTCTGCAGCGCGGCAACGCCGAGGCTCACCGCACGGCCACCCTGGCCGCTGGCGCGGCGCGCCGCCTGCGGGGCCCCGACGGCCCCGCCCCGCCCGAGCGCCGCGCCAGACTCAGCGCCGGGCCTGCGGCGGCGCTGCCCTTGCCAGGCTGAGCGCCCCCGGCTAGGCCGACGGGCTGCAGGGAGGCGCGCCCGCTCCTGCGCGCCGCCTGGCCGCCCCGAGCCGCGCGCCCTGCTGGGCGACCGCCGCTGAGACGCTGCATGGCGGAGGCTGGCCCGGCCCCCCGCCGCCGCCGCGGCTGCCGGCGCTGCCCAGCGGCCACCCCGCGCTGCGGACGCTGCGGCGCGGCCGCCGCGGGCGCGCGTTGGGTCAGGTGGGGGAGGATTCAGATCTCCAACGTCACAACCACCTGGCCCGCGGCCCGCGGCGGCCCCTGCGCCGCTGCCGGTGCTGGACGCCGCGGCGCTGCCGGGCGGCGCCGCGGCCGGCCCGCTCGCAGCGGGGGGGGCAGCGAGCGGGCGCGGCTGGCGCGGCCGCCCGGAGGGCGGGGCGCTGCGCTCGCGAGCCACTACCGGTTCCTGCTGGTCCCCTGGCGCTCCCGGGTAAGCGAGGTATAGGCTCCGGCCGGCGCGCCCTCTCCTCCTCGGGGGCGGCTCGCCGCCGAGCGGTGGGCCGCATCCTGGGTTGCGGGGGTTGCGCCGGCCCCCGACCACAGAGCGCCCGCCCGTGGGGGACCCGCGCGCGCCGCAGGAGGAGGAGGAGGAGGAGGAGGAGGAGGAGGAGGAGGAGGAGGAGGAGGAGGAGGAGGAGGAGGAGGAGGGGGAGGAGGAAGAAGAGGAGAGGAGGAGGAGGAGGAGGAGGGGGGGGAGGAGGAGGAGGGGGAGGAGGAGGAGGAGGAGGAGGAGGAGTAGGAGGAGAGGAGGAGGAGGAGGAGGAGGAGGAGGAGGAGGAGGAGGAGGAGGAGGAGGAGGAGGAGGAGGAGGAGGAGGAGGAGGAGGAGGAGGAGGAGGAGGAGGAGAGGAGGAGGAGGAGGAGGAGGAGGAGGGAGTGGAGGGGAGGAGGAGGAGGAGGAGGAGGAGGAGGAGGAGGAGGAGGAGGAGGAGGAGGAGGGGGGGGGGAGGGGAGGAGGAGGAGGGGGAGGAGGAGGAGGAGGAGGGGAGGAGGAGGAGGAGGAGGTGAGGAGGAGGTGGAGGAGGTGGAGGTGGCGAGCGCCCCCCCCCCCCCCCCCATCCGAAGGGCGGCGGTGCCCAGGCCCCTCGGGAGGGCCGGGGGGCGGGGGGCGCGCCGCGAGGCATGCCGCGCCCAAGGGGGGGCCCCCATGGGCCTGCACGGCGCTCGCAGTCCAGCCCCCTCGCGCCGTGAAGTTGCTCCGGCGGTGGCGCCCCGCACGAGAATTTGTGCAGCTTGCCCTCGGCCCTTTCCTCTTCGCCTTCGCCCTCTGCTCTGCCCTCTCCTCCTCTTCATCCTGCTATTCATCCTCCTCCTCCTTTTCCTCCTCCTTCTCCACCTCATCCTCATTTATCGCCGCCCCCCTACCCCTTCGGCCCTCGTCATCCTCATGCGTCTTCTCCATGTGCGCCTCCCCTTCCCCCTGGTCGGGGCGAGTCAAACGATTTTCCTCGGCGCCGTCGCCGCCTCGGCCAGCGCGCGCGCGTTCGCCGACTGCGAAATCGGGAAGCCTTTGGGACAATCCCGTGGGCCATGCCTTTGGGACAACCCCGCGGGCCGTTGGGGCGCGGGGGCGGGCCGTCGGGACAGCCCCGCGGGCCAGGCCGTTGGGGCAACCCCGCGGGCCCTGAGGTGGGCGCGGCCGCGCTCAGGCGGGGGACAGCGCGAAGCCCAGCCGTGCTGCGAGCTGCTTCGCCTCGCTTCTGGAACTCCCCGTTATCTCGTCGAATTTCCGGAACGCCTTCCGCAGGGACGCAGGCGGCCCGCGCTCCAGGAATTCTCGCGTGGCCGGCCGCAGGATCATCATCTTCTGTATGCGCGTTGCACGAGAGAACATGACGTAGAGGTGCAGCCGCCACTGCTTGTACGACATGCCCGCGCGAACAGCGTCCTCATCCCTGGCGCAGTCGATGGTGACAACATCGCCGCGCCTGGGCACGGTTCAGCCGAGCGAGTGGCACCTTTCAGGGCCCAAAGGTGATCCCCGTCGGATTGGCCCGCGAGGGCTCGCATCACCTTGCGTTCCTGAGGAGCCCAAACGCTGACGACAGTTACGAGATCCCGTGGTTTCACTCGGATTCCGACATGGAGCTGCGGGTCCCAAAAAGAGGGGGCTCCCGCTCGAGAGTTCCTCGCGATGCACTCACTGCCGAGGCTCCCGCCTGAGACTTCCTCAAGATTCAGGCCTGGCTGGAGAACCCGAAATTGGCGATAGGCCCACGTTTCGCATGACCGTTTTCGGATTACCAATGCGCAGCTCGGGCCCCATAGGGAGGGGGCTCCCGCCTGAGACTGCATCGCAAGGCGCCAACAGATGAGGCTCCCGCTTGGGGGGCGTCTTCAATATTCAGGCGTGATATACCCCAAAAAGGACAACACTTATAGGATTTGGATGGCCCGTTTTGATGGCCAACGTGACGTGCGGGCCATAGGGGAGGGGGCTCCCGCCCGAACTTTCTTCGCACATCGCTCGCGAACGAGGCTCCCGCATGAGGGGCTTCTTCAAAATTCAGGCGCGAAGAATCACGGCGCATCCAGAAGGAGAAAGAAACAGAGAGGTCACAGGAGTGACTGGCGGCATCGGTAACGTCCTCGGTCGATTGTTGCTCCATCCCGCCAGCCCCGTTCACCTGGAACGACCTGGGCGCAGGCTCCCTGCCCCAAACATTGCGCCGATCATGTTTCGCCATTGGAGACGCAGGTGTCCTGAGGGAAACGGGTCGTGATGTTTTCCGCCATTTCGGGCCCCCAGGGTCCTCCCCAGGGCGTCGGGGCCGTCATATAACAAACAACTCGGCATGGGA